CATGAGACCAAACCCGTTAAACTTACTGTTGGTATCTTCCACGAGGAGTTGATTTCCCTTTTGATAATTTCCTCCCCGGCAGTCCCAGTGGTGCTAGGATATTCTTGGCTCAAGAGACACAACCCTCAGATTGACTGGGAGGGTGGAGAAATCGTTTCTTGGGGAATTGGTTGTAGGAAAGAATGTCTGCAGAGAGTCACTTCTGTTTGTCCCGTAAACTCTTATACTAACTCTTCCCAATCCACAGACGTTCAGATACCATTACAATATCTAGATCTCAAATCTGTATTTGACAAGAGTAAGGCGGATACTTTACCTCCCCACCGGTCTTATGACTGTTCTATTAAACTTTTCCCTGGTACTATGCCTCCTAGGGGTACGGTATACCCTTTATCCACCAAAGAAAATTTAGTTTTAGAGGAATACATCAAGGAGAATCTAGACAAAGGATTTATTAGAAAATCTTCTTCTCCGGCGGGGGCGGGTTTCTTTTTTGTAGAAAAAAAAGACGGTACCTTACGTCCTTGTATAGACTATCGGGGATTGAACAAAATTACTATCAGGAATGCTTACCCCATTCCTTTGATTACTGAACTCTTTGACAGACTAAAGGGCTCGAGTATTTTTACCAAACTTGACATGAGAGGAGCATATAACTTGGTGCGAATTAAACAAGGAGATGAATGGATGACAGCATTTAATACCCGTTACGGGCATTATGAGTATACTGTAATGCCGTTTGGGCTATGCAATGCCCCGGCCGTCTTCCAAGACTTGATTAATGAAGTTCTTAGAGAATTTCAACACGAATGTGTGATTGTATATTTGGATGATATACTAATACATTCTAGAGACATTAACTCACATCATAGACAAGTCAGAAAGGTATTACAGAAGCTTTTACAACATAGATTGTATTGTAAATTGGAAAAATGTAGCTTTGATCAGTCTCAGGTTACTTTCTTAGGTTACGTAATCTCCAAAGACGGGTTTATGATGGACCCGACCAAACTAAAATCGATTTTAGATTGGCCTTTACCTAAGGGACTCAAAGCCATACAAAGATTTCTTGGATTTTCTAATTATTACAGACGTTTCATTAAAGGGTACTCCTCTGTTATCGCTCCTATCACTAATATGACCAAACAAGGAGCCGATACCAAAACATGGTCTACTGAGGCATTATCTGCTTTCGAAACGCTCAAACAGTCTTTTGCCTCAGCACCTGTATTAGTTCATCCTGATACCTCTCTGCCCTTTTTACTTGAAGTTGATGCATCTGAAACAGGGATAGGCGCAGTATTGTCCCAAAGACAAAGTTTAGATAAGCCGCTGCACCCTTGCGGTTTTTTTTCCAAGAAATTATCACACACTGAAAGGAGATATGACATTGGTGACAGGGAACTCTTAGCTATTATTATGGCATTAAAGGAATGGAGACATCTGTTAGAGGGCACTGTTCTCCCAGTTACTATCTTGACTGATCACAAAAATTTATCTTATATGGGGGAGGCCAAAAGATTATCTGCCAGGCAAGCACGTTGGTCTATGTTCCTTACACACTTTAATTATATGCTTACTTACAGGCCTGGTTCTAAAAACACTAAGGCTGACGCATTGTCTCGTCAGCACGAACCTATCGCCACTACAGAAGACACTTTGTCCCCTATTGTTCCTGAAATCAACATTATCGCCAACACCAATGTCAAAATACACTCTCCATTGCTCGTAGATATAATGAACGAACAATCTCTTGCTCCCGAGCGTACTCCTGTGGGCCGCTTGTTCGTGTCTCCCAAATTCCAAGTGGACATTATTCGCTGTTTTCACGATAGCAAGTTTGCTGGTCACCCCGGCATCCACAAAACTTACTGCCTGATTTCCAAAGACTTCTGGTGGCCTAGTTTACGTAGGGATGTGGAAGACTTTGTCAAGGCTTGCGATGTTTGTGTCAGGAATAAACTACCATGGGATCTCCCTTGTGGTCTATTGCAGCCCTTAGTCGTTCCCAACAAACCTTGGGCTAGTTTGGCTATGGATTTTATTGTTGATCTGCCGGTTTCCAATAGGCACACGGTTATCCTCACGGTTCTTGACAGGTTTACCAAAATGGCTAATTTCATTCCCTTGCCTAAACTTCCGTCCTCTCCTGAACTGGCCGTGATATTTGCTAGAGAAATTTTTCGTTTGCATGGTATTGAGATGAGATTGTGTCTGACAGGGGTTCCCAGTTTATTTCCCGTTTTTGGAGATCCTTCTGTTCCCAGTTGGGCATCAAGCTGAATTTTTCTTCGGCCTATCATCCTCAATCTAACGGAGCAGCCGAACGCACTAACCAAAAAATTGAGCAATATCTACGTTGTTTTGTTTCTGAACACCAGGACGATTGGGTCGGTCTGATTCCTTGGGCGGAGTTTGCTCACAACAACCTTGTTTGTGGTTCCACTCGTAATAGCCCCTTTTTCTTGAACTATGGCTTTAATCCTACTGTTCTTCCGTCGGTATCTCCTTCCCAGGGTTTACCGTCGGTTGATATTCATATAGCCAACCTGAGAAAGTTGTGGGATCAGACTCGACAAATTCTTACGCGTAGTTCCGCGGTGTTTAAGTTGCATGCTGATAGGCGTAGACGGCCTGCTCCTGTTTTTTCTCCGGGTGATAGGGTCTGGTTGAGTACCAGACACATTCGCCTGAAAGTTCCCTCCTTGAAGTTTGCTCCTCGTTACATAGGTCCTTACAGGGTGCTGAGGAGGATCAACCCGGTTTCTTATTTGCTGGACCTGCCTCCTACTCTACGCATCCCTAACTCTTTTCATGTGTCTTTATTGAAACCTCTTGTTTGTAACAGATTTTCCTCCCGCTCTGCTCCTCCATCCTCAGTCCGTGTGGATGGTCAGGAAGAATATATCATTAGGTCCATTCTTGATTCTCGTATTTCCAGGGGGAAGTTGCAATACCTCATTGACTGGAAAGGTTATGGTCCAGAAGAGAGGTCTTGGGTTCCTTGTGTAGACGTGCATGCTCCTCGTCTTCTTCGGGCCTTCCACGTTCGTTTTCCTTCTAAGCCCGGTCCCATCCGCCCGGTGGGCGTTTCTAGAAGGGGGGGTACTGTCAGGGTACCTGTTGGTGCTGACTCCAAGGAGGACATCCTCTCTGCTTAGGGGCTCCCTGCCCCTAGCATTTCGGCAAATTCCGGCCGTTTTCGCGCCGGCCGCGCTAGCTCCTCCCCCTTTTATGACGCGACGGCTAGCGTCGACGTCATGACGTCAGCATTACGTGAAGTGCCGGGAACCGCAATTCCGGACCTTTTGGGGGCGTGGTCTCAATTAAGGTGACAGGGTATTTAAGGGAACTTTTACTACTGCTCATTGCCCTGTCGTGGTTCTAGCTTGCTAGTCACTCAGCGCGTTCTCTCTCTTAGTGTTTTCGGTTTTGACCTTGCTTGTCTTTTGTCCAGTTGTCCTCTCCTCTCCTTTGACTCGGCTTGTATCTCGCTTACCTGTCCTCCGGCTCCCTCGACCTCGGCTTACCTTTTGACTATTCTTGTTTTGTCCATACGTTAGTCCGGCCATTCTAAGGTCCGGTATACGTACCTCCTTCTGTCCGCACTCTGCGTATTGGATCCCTGTCACTATCCTGACACTTAGCTAACATGCTGGACAAACTTTTCAGACGAAGCTGGAAACTATAGGTGCGGACATCCACCATATTGGAGACAGCGTGAGAACACACAAAGATGATTTTGTTCTCATACACACTCAACTCCAGCACATGCAAAACATTATTACAAATAAGAATACTTATCTGTCCCACCTAAACAGAACAATGGATAATAATGACAATCGGGGTAGGTGTAATAATCTGTGCATTAAAGGCCTTCACGAACGAGACCAAGAGAATCTTACCAACACCCTCACTGAACTATTTAACTTGATCCTACGCATACCGTCCACCGAACAGATCCTGCTGGATAGGGCACACAGGGCCCTCAGACCAAGAGGAATATCCCCAGATTCTCCCAGGGATATTATATGCTGACTGCATTACTTCTCACTTAAAGAGGAGATCCTCCGAGCGCTGCGCCAAACTTCACAACTGCTCCAGCTTCACAACTCTCCCATTCAGATTTACCCAGATCTCTCCTGGGCTACTCTCCAGGCCAGACATGCATTGAGGCATTTATATTTATATTACTTTACGAGATGTGCTTACCCATACCTCATGCATGCTTTGCCTCTCTGAACATATTACTGTGCATGTGGGGGATAGTGATCTGCATCCCTTCCACACAATGTTCACTATCACACCTTATTAAGATATATAGCGCACCAGATTTGCTCAACAGAAGACATCTATTACCCGATCTCTCTAGTAGATTCACACATAGACTCTATAGTGGTAGTCACGTTTACCATGAATAGGGGTCTCCAGAAAGCTTATTTAAAATTTCCATCTGATACCACAAGGAGTCAGGGTTCGTAACCCCCAACCTTTTTACTCCAGGACCAGGGCCAATCCAAAAGCCCACAGAAGGAGCCCTGGTTATGGAAAAACCCTCAGCAGTCTTACATGCTCCCAACTTGCCCCACTGCAGTCTATAATGAATGCAGAGGCAAAGCTCATCTTCCTGTCCGCCTGCATCTCCCACGCCTCACCCCTCTGTCAGTCCCTGCATTGGCTTTCCATAAGATATAGGGCTCAATATAAAATTCTCGTTCTTGCTTTCAAATCTCTACATAATGCTACTCCCACCTATCTATACTCCCTAATACACAAGTATGTCCCGTCTAGGCCCCTACGCTCTGCCAAAGACCTGTGTCTATCCTCTGTTCGCACTCCCACCACTGATGCTCACCTTCAAGACTTCTCTAGGGCTGCACTGCTCCTGTGGAACTCCCTTCCCTTTTCCGTTAGGTGCTAACCCAGTCTGTACTCCAAAAAATCATTAAAAACTCACTTTTTCACAAAAGAGTATCAGTTAAACTGTTAATGGCTCCAAAAAAAACAAAACCTCACTAAGTCTTCATTGAAAACTATATCAATCTACTTTCCTAATACTTCCCTTACCTTTTGTTTCACTTTACCCCACTCCCTCTAGCATGTAAGCTCATTGAGCAGGGCCCTCAACCCCTCTGTTCCTGTGTGTTCAACTTGTCTGGTTACAAATACATGTTTGTTTGTCCACCCACTGTAAAGCACTATGTCATTTGTTGGTGCTATATAAATATAATAATAATAATTAACCCCATACAACTGGCCCCCCTGATAGACGCCAAGAGCCCCATATGACTCCCCTGTATTCTGTACAAATGTTGATGTAAATGGCTTTGTTACGTATTACACTAACTAATGCACAACGCTGTTAAATCTACGATGTATGCTTTTATGTCTGTAACTTTACTTTATCGAAATAAAAACTTTTTGAAAGAGAAGCAAAAAAAAAATGTGCATCCATTCCATAATTTCTTTGGTTTGTAAGTTGGCTACAACTTGTCTCTGAATTTGGGAATTTTTATGAATTCAGATGAATTGCAGTTCACAATGAAACCAATCTTCAAGTCTACACACTCAGGTCATTCACTGAAGAGAGAGTTTGGAGTGAGTTCAAAGTGATTTCTAAGTATAAGGCCAAGGTAGCCAAAATGAAAACACAGCTGACTTTTTCAAGTTTGGCTACTTTGACCCTAAATTTGAAATTTACTTTGAATTCATCTTGAACTCTCACTTTAGTGAATAACCCTGACTGCCTTAGCAGACAACTTCCTACCCTTTACATTGTTTATACCTATACTTGACTCTTTCCTTCGATATTCACATGACTGTCATGATCTCCAATTTCCTCCAGTTATTATCTCTATACATTATCTCTATTTACTATGTCTTGCTGCCCTACCCTGGAACACAAAGCAGTATAAATGTCAGAAGAAGGAACTTTTACAGTTACTGTCATTCCAAAGATAATTGTGTACTGATGAAAGGTCATTGTATATGAATGTATTTCATAATGTTTCATAATAGTTGTGAGTGTGTGCGTGCAAGCTGAATATATATACAATATGTTCTGTTTAACATTAAACCTATAGGTTTTTGCAAGTGTAATCTCAATATGTGTTTATTTATGTTTGTATAAGCTGAATGGTGTGTGTTGATTTATGGTATTTTTTCATAGAATTCTGCTGTACTGCCTATGAAATCAATTATGTGATATCTTTAAATATGAATTGGAATTGTCACTAAACTAGAAGTCTGTTATAACAGCAGCCATATGGGTGAAATTAATATAGATGTAAAGAATTTTGGCGAAGAGTTGGTACATCTGTAGTTTGGCAAATTTCTGCAATCTAAAAAAAGAGTAGGGGAATTTCCAAATATTTAGCGTATCAGTTTTCACACTCAGAAAACTATTGGTAGCAAATGTGTGGGCTATGAGGGTATGTACAGAACAAACAGTGTTGTGAAATTCCTTGTACTTAAAATATATTTTTAAAATATCTTTGTGAACATTGCCTCCAGCAACCTATGAATGTTTTTACTAGGCAAAGAATAAGTAATCCTGATCTATTTTATGTCACTTTGAAATCCTTTGTGTGAAATTTTTTTAAATGTCATGTGAAGTTTTGTTGCATGGGGGGGAATACTTCAATGTACACATATGGAGAATCTTGATGAAGAAGCTTCTCTGGACTTTGTGGTTATACACCAGTCATGGTGTTGGGTCTTTCATTATCACATAGAATATCTGGAGAATACAATGTCTTTTTTTTAGCATAGAAACATGTATCCTAATTTTACATAAGAAAAATAAATATTTTATGCAATGGAGATGACTGTTTTAATTTTTCAGTATTATAATGGGCATTTGGCCTTGACACCGCTTCACCGTTTACTATTATTTATAACTACTGTTTCAACTACACCATAACCACCACTTTCTTTATCTAAAATATCAGCACCCTAAAAGTGTTTCTATCATGATTAACATCTATATTGCATTACAACGTATATCTGTATTTAATAGAAGACAAGTGGGATTTGATAAAAACAGCGAGTGCATTTTCTTCAAAAAGATGGAACATTTTGCATTTTTTCAGTAAGCCAACACATTCAAGTTAATAATGTCATACATGGGTGGCGGAGCCTTGCTGCTGAAGTGCATGGACGCAACCCTCCACAGCTCCTGCAAATCGAGCATAATCTGCTACCATCCGCGGCCCCACGAGCTAAACGCTGATGCCTTTTCTGTACACACAAAAGACATAGGGGCTTTATTGCAAAGGCTCCAGAGCCTCAAAATGGCGGCCGGCCTAGATCTGACATCCAGGCCCTACAGCCCCGACCTCACGACAGAGGGGCAGGAAGATCCCACCAACCTCAGCCACCTCCAGAGCTACAGGATGAGGGGGAAGACCTAGCACCTGCCACAAAACAGGATATCAGGCAGCTAGCAAGGGAGATGAAGCAAATGTTCGATGTTGACATGAACTTAGCTCGAACAGAGATACAGGCCCAAAGAGCCTAGGCCTCAGAGGAAGATATCACTGATATTCGGCAAGAACTGAAAACAATGGGAGATACCCTACACCAGCTACAATCCTCTGACTCTGCGCTCCAACTCAATCAGGATACTATGGAAGACCGCAACCGGCAGATGAACATCAAAATCCGGGGAATATCGGACTCTGTAGGTCCGACAGAACTGTCTCACTACCTATGGAGGTTAACTGCTACACTGTTGCCTCACACCCAGGCCAAGAAATTGGAATTTGATGGACACTTCAGAATCATTAATGCTAAACAAGCACTGCCTGCAGCCCCGCGAGATGTAATTGTGCGCTGTCACTCCATACTAGATAAACGGCACTTTCTAACTGCAGTCAGGAACAAGATATCATGTGCACCACACTACAATGGAGAAAGTCACTAAGCCATATAACCGCCCAGCTACAACACGCAAAGGTGGACTACCAAGTATGGGACTCTCACAAGACACAGGGGCCCAAGAGACACCCACTACGTCCCCACCTCATACATAGGACCCTGAGAGAACTGTCTTATTCACCCCGAGAGGAGATCGGAATAAAACAGTGGTGTCCTGAGCAGACACCAAGCGGAGCCATATGGTTCACATAGTATCACTGATGTTATCAGCCTAACAGTTTCTATCGCACCTTATGTTATATAATCTTTATTTTGTTTTCTTTTTTCTTACTTAGTTGAATTTTACTTTTATACGTTAATGAAGAACCAAGTATTGTGCCTTCCTTAGTATAAGGGAGCAGTTCAGCAACGACTCATGATGTTTACCAACTACTGCCTGACTAGACCTCCCCCTGTGACCCCCATCGGTAAGGGGTCATCACTCGACTTTGCTCCGGTGCGACGGAGCCCTACCACACGCCCCACACACATTCACTAGGAGACGGACAGGGCACACGCTACAGCAATACACCACAACCCTCACACTGCAACCCAAGTATGGAGACGGTACCAGATGACTAACAGCACTCAACTTACTATTACAGAAGAAGCAACCAGGTTGTGCTTAAGGGAGCATTACACACATCATTCCAGAGCACAGGGCATGACTCTCTTTCCCTACAACACACAGCCTTATTCATTTACACTGTCAGACGCACACCCTGAGACACCTCACAGAGTGGTCTAACTACCCATTACAAATCCAGACTTTTATTATAATTAACTTGTTTAAGACCTTTTCAAGCACAGCCATAACCGTACTAACTCATTGTTCTAACGCAGGTCATGCAATGTATCATGATGTTCCTAACTTGTCTTTACTAAACCATAAAAATGTGCTGTTTGATATGCCAAGATTACGATTGTTAATGCATTGCTTGCTCCAGCTGTTGTGGTGGAACAAGCCTGTTGTATGCTTTACAAAAGAAAGAATTAAAAAAAAATATAGTCATCCATGGTCTTTCTGTCTGTCTTTCTCCTTTCTATCTCTCACTCTGTTTCTCTCTCTGTCTCTTTCCATTTCTCCCATTTTGTTAACTAAACATTACAGCAGTTTTTACACTTCTATCAAAAAATTATTGAGTGAACTTCTTGATTATTGACAACCACAGGGTGCCTGGTAATTTTTATGGAAAATACACTTTTCGACATATTATTTTTGACATGAGGTTTGCTAGATTATCAAACTTAAAAGCACATATTATTAGCAATGACAACAATTTGTAAAGGGAACATAATCACTTAAATAATTAGTGACAATCAAATGGTGCTTGTAATTTAGTAATTTTCATGGAAATGTTTATGGGAAATAAAACCATTTGACAACATATTACTGCAAATAATTGATTGCAAAGGAAATATAAGTAATTCCTAAAAATGGAACAGTCATAATGTATAAAGTCACGCAATACCCGAAAAAATTCAATAAATTGTCAAAGTTCACAACTATTTTCTTGTACTATCACTGAGGATAAAGACAACAGTGACATCAAGTGGTCAAACATGGAAACTCCATCAAGTGACAAGTATGAATGATGGTCTTTTTATTATTGCATTTGCCTAAAATCCTTAATAAAAAATAATGATACTCTATATTTGCAAAAAGTTAGGATTACAGTAATATTTGCATTGTTTAGATAAGTAAATATTGAAGAATGCTTATGCCCACACATTCAGACAACCCTTATTACCTCTTTATTTTCTATTATTCGTTTAAGAGTAGCCCGAACCAATATTTTCCTTATTAAATGCACTCTTTATCATACCTCTTATACTGCTAATCCGTGAACTATTGCAGCAAAATGGCTATACAATAATAAACTAATGTCTCACTTGTTTTCCCCTTCACCCCAGCACTGTTTTTCAACCTAAAGATTAACTTTCTTCACCAGCGCTCCTATCTGTCCTCCTGTTCTATTGCAGAGGGATAATAAATGATACCTTTCCTTCCTCCCATACTCTACAGCAGATGTTATAAGTCATGTACCACTCCATGCAAGTTAACACTTTGAAGGGATAATGATTATTTTTTCTCAATAATTATTAATTAATAATTATTTATTAATGTTTTATTAAAATAATAATTATCTCTGATTCAGTAGGTTTGGAATCTGGTCTGCACCTCCATATGTGATATTTGTTATGGGTGTATTGACTGTGTGTGATCTATGGGTGTATTGACTGTGTGTGATATTTGTGACTGGTATTTAATTCAGTTTAAAAAAATGCGAATAGGCCCATGAGTGAATGCAGGTGTTTTTCAGGGTCACATGGACACAGTCCCACAGTCAGGTGCACAC